CACCAAAAAATAGTCTTCAAAAGCTGTTACTACACTTTTTGTAATATTTCGCATATGGCTTGGAGGTGCAAATATACCACATACATAACAAAAATTATTTCGATTCGGACACTGCATTTTTACTTTGATTTCAAATGGATGGTTAACTCAACAATCAAAATTAATATGAAAAATTTATCGATTTTTCGCTGCAATAATGTTTTTGTTTAACATTTAAAAAAAAAGTATTACCCTCGTATAAAGATTGTTTTGAAAACAATGCTTTTTATGTATAAATGCCGCAGATGTGTAAATTTTTTGTTTTTTTTGCTGTTTCAATTGACTTCGTATACTTAAATACTTTTTTTTAATTAAATTAAATATGTTTTAGGTACACTTGCTTTAAGACTTAAATCAATTCATTTAAATATCTTTTAATTTTTTTTAAAAATGTTAATTCAACAAAGCTCAATTTTTACAAAAAATTTAATAAATAAAAATTGTAATCACCCGACTTTAAAGCATTTTGATTGGCTTAAAATTGAAACATTTTGTTACTTGGTTTAAAAATAAACCGTTTGATATATATATATATATATATATATATATATAAATGTGCAAAACTCTGTATAAGATTAAAATAATTTTAAAATGCATATATAATGGTTGCCTATCCATTTAGTAAATATATATATTTTTAACTATGCAGTCCAGCTGTTATCGAGTCTATTAAATTATGTCGCGAATAGTGTGAATAACATTTTATTGGATAGCCCTTAAAAAAAAATTATGACGTGATGTAAAAAAACGCCGAGACACGGGTATCATTTTTTTAACTCTATTTTTAGAATCTGAAGAAATTTTTCATGGGAGGGACCAAAAATCAAATTTTGTCGTACTGTGTTATACATAGAGAAAATACATTGTAGGTGGAACAGACAAGTCGAAGTCGGCGCGGTCAGCGCGAAACGAAAATGTTCCCAGAAATTATTTTGACGAGTGGATGAGTAGTCTAACATTCCACGTAACAGGTGACCTTGTTTACTGGCGATTAAAATTTTATTACGTCCAAATAATTTCTGAGAACTTTTTCGCTTTGCGCTGACTTCAACTTGTCTGGTCCACCTACAATGTATTTGTATTTATGTATAGCTAGCAAATGAAGGTACATACGGTAGGTATATCCACGGTGGTTACAATTTGTCCTACATAATTTTAATGAATTCTGAATTTACCTTACACCGGGGTTTTTTTGGGTTTGCGTGTATGGTTGCCTACCGTCCTTTATTTGAAAGGACAGGAATTTATTTTAAAATTAAATCCTTTGTTTTTTTAAAGGTGTGAAAGGACTACAATTGTCCTTTAAAACCAATAATCTTTGAATTCAAAATATATAAAAGTCCCATACAGCACCTAAGTAAATTAATTAATTTATTTTTATTCTACATTTATGATATAATCTAAAATCTAACAGTTGGCGACGTTTGAAAAATATCGTTTAATCCCCGAGATACTAGACTAGTTTTATTCTGTATTCGTGTTCATTTGCCAGGATTGTCTAGTTACTGCTGTGCTAGGTCCTATAATTTATATTATATTATTTAACGTAAATTATAATTTATACTAAAATAATTGTACCTACGTGATAAACATACCAATTAGGAGTGTCTATATTAAACTGGCTTACTAATTATGAGAAATGTCTTTTAGTCAAACTATACCGAATGAAGGTAGGTAAACTGAATGATAAAATTATATATACATACAGGGTGTCCGGAAAAAGGAGGTCAATTCGTTAACCATATATTCCTTAATTTAAAACAATACGACTTTCATAATACCATTTTTCAATTTAGGACTTCATGTTCTATATACAGGGCGACAAAGTTTGAAATTTAAAACCATTTTTTTTTAAATAATTCCAGTAATTGATAAGATATTAAGTTCAAATTCGGTACACTACTTTAACATAAATAGTTACATCTTTTGAGACCAACAAAACAAAAACAATTGTCAAATAATTAAAATAGGGATGGTTCAGTACTCACTGCCCCCCCCATTTTTAGTACGTACGCCAGTGACTTCCAAACGGTATTTTTTCAGGTAATCATTTATTGTTGAAAATTTTTTGTCTCTTATAAAATTTTGATAAAATAATTATTAAACAAATTATAATTTGTTTAAGAGATAATTTGTAAAGTATTGGTCCTGGATTGATGCCCACGCGGCTTATGGCAATCTTATAATTTTCAAATGTAGTACTGGACCCTCCCTAATTTGTATATTTGACAATTGTTACATTTTTTCAGGACAACAATTATGAGATTGCCATAAGCCGCGTGGGCATCAATCAAGGACCAATACTTTACAAATTATCTCTAAAACAAATCTTTTTATCAAAATTTTATAATAGACAAAAAATATTCAACAATAAACGATTACCTGAAAAAATACCATTTGAAAGTCACTGGCGCTCGTACTAAAAAATAGGTGGGGTCAGTGAGTACTGGACCTCCCTATTTTGATTATAAAAGGGTGATTTATTGTTAACAACTTTGTAATTACATAGGTATATATAAAACTAGCATTAGAAAAATCTCTATCTCAGGTGATTATGTATACCCATAGGTGGTGCTGATTCAAGTTTGCGAACAACACTTTCCCGGGGGTATTTTGTTAGGGGATCCTTGGGGCTGGTCGAAAATTGATGCTAAACCGTAACCTGTACGACTTAAACTCTGTGAAGTAAATTGTACAGAAAAATCCGGGCAACATTTTTATTTACTGGGACTTTGGGGTTTATTTTGGGGGTGAAAAGGGCGCGTAAATCAGTTTTAATTTAATTTTGCGCTTCAAAAAAACCATGCTTTCTTTTAAATTACCAAGTTGTACCTCTAAAAAAGCCGCGTCGATGGAGTATCGTATCAACACCCTAAAAAATTGTTAACACCTCCAAAATAATTATTAAAATTTTAAACAATAAAATCACGAAAATAAATTGGAAATAATTCGACATATTTCGAAAACTTGTCTGACAATAGCCACGAGAACCTGTAGAGCTCGAGGGGCTATTCAATAGCCGCCATTGACAACAAGTTGGTGATATTCGAAAAATTATTTTTTGACATTTATTTTAAAATTTTGTTAGGTTTTAACAGATGGCATATTATTTTCGCATGACTAAATTTGAAATTTTCTATTAGTTTTTAGAAACGTAAAAAGAATCAAATCAAATAATTTTGTTTTTTCAATAAGTGTCAATTTCTTGGTCAAGGTTTGAATGTGCATTATTATCTACTAGATTTTTTTTTATGGAATACCCCAAATTATGCATCACCCCTATCAGCACGATATAGCCGCCATGGAACAATTTGTAGCTGACACTCTCAGTTCTATTATTGTTTACAGCGCCGGTGTCGCATGTTGCCATTTTGGGAATGGAAAAAGGAAGAAGCCACAGACCTGTGGAAGAAGCACATTTGTAAAATCAGTTGAGGATAATAATGCGCACGTTTCGTTAACGGTTTTTGACTTTACAAACATTTTTTGAGAAGTTTTACTAATTTTTTTGGGGGGTGTTAACATTTTTCTAGGGGGTTAATCTAATTAACTACCATCGCAAAAAATAAATTACAACTAAATTTTCAAAATTTTCACCTCCCAAATAAACCTTGAAGATTTCGCCCCTGTGAACAAAAATGTTTCCTGGATTTTTCTGAACAATTTATCCAACTGAGTTGTCGTACAGGTTTATCACCACCCCCAATAATTCCCTAACAAAAAACCCCCAGAAAAGTTTTGTTCCCAAACTTGTATTTAGTTCCAGGACCCCCATAATATGATATGGAGATTTTCCTACTGCTTATTTTTTCATTATTCGGTACGTATACAGTTTGTACTATTTTAGGAAGAAAAAAATTTACAATCACTGATAACGCCGGCACCATAAATTTATATGATAAGGAAGGAGTACAAGTTGATAATGACTTCATCAACTTTTTTTTCGATATGGACAATAATACGAAAACGTTATTACTTAGAACAGAAAATACCTTAGAGAACCAACTGATACCAGAAAGTGAGTTAGTTATAGAATCTGCCATTTAACTTAACACCTACTCCTATTAAAGTCTCAATTTATTAATTCTCGGTTATTTTTATTCCCCGGATAAACATGCCATTTAAAATTTTTCACATTAATAAAAAAATCCAGTTTAAAGAAGGCATAAAAATAACCGAGAATAAACAAAGCTTATTAAAGTTTGTACTTATTTTAGGCAAAAGTTTTACTACCGACGACACCTTAACAAATTCGGCCTCCTCAAGCTATTCTTTTTTTATACAGCCGAATGAAGATTTAAATCAAAACACACTAGAAAATAACCTTTTCTTAACTTTGCCTCCAAGATTAACCGAATCTCTAACAACAACCCCAACCCCATCCGAGCTAACATTATCTGGTGTTTCTACTCCACCACCCACACTTAATTATAAAAGTGGAAATATTACAGCAGAAGTAAGATAATAGTTCATTTTTCTCATTATAATATTATTAAAGAATTTGTACTTTTCTATAGGTTTTTATTAAGAATGGCTCAGTCTTAAACTGAAGAAAATTAATCTCTTTCTCCACGGTTACTGTCATTACTATGACGATTATACGGTCATTAATTTTTTTTCTTAAAAATTAATTTTCACTTATATTTGTCATCAAATCTGTGGTTGTAGTTATAATTACATAAAACTGTACTAAATTCTTTAATAAAATTTGAAAAAGTAAAGTGTTCAACTCTTGAGAAATGGTCATTTCCATTTGTCTTCGGCTCGTATCTCAATATTTTATCCTTATGGAAACTTTCTCAATCGTTGAACAAAATATATTCTTAGATAATAACATTACATGTAATTTTTTTCCTTTTATTTAGAACCTTAAATCTCAAATAATTGCAAAAAACGGAAATAATATTATTTTTGAAGAATATGAAAGATTAAACTGTTTAACTAACCAAACACGTAAAATTATGGTAAATACAGTGTGTGACCTTATTGTGGAGAGATATGGCCTATCAATACCAACAAAAATAAAAGAAGAATATGCAAAATGCATTATTGAAATATTTCCAAATTTAAGGGATCCCTTTTCACCCAAAGGATATGTAAGAGATTTTTAACTTCGTTATAAAATCTGAAATTAAAACTAAACTAAAATATTGTAGGAAATATTTTTTAACCCCCAAAAACATGATGGGTTTTTAGCGTGGAGGCTAAAAACTCTATCTAGAAACAATTCAGAGAAAAGAAAAATAATTAAAAGTAGCCAGGCCGAGCCTCTGACTAAACAACAAAAAACTGAAGAGGATGTTCAAGATATTAACTTCGAGGTAATAATGGAAGAAATAAAATTAGCGCACCCCAAAACAGATACTCAGCTAATCTTTAAGAAAATGGCAGATACTTTAAAATACCGCCGAAAGCTTCCGATGGAGAATGTATTGACTAATTTCCCTCGATTTATAGACACACCCGGATTGGTATGTAAAATTATTTTTCTACTCCCATTATGTATTATGACCGTTCTAATATCACTTTTTAATGTGGAATGACATATATTCAGTAAAGTATTACTTACAGAATGAAATTATTCCATCAACGTATGACGGAATAAACACTGGTGGCGACATCTCTGTGTTTATTATCTAACAAATTTTACACAAATCCAACCTCACTTTTTCCCAAATTAAACTATTTTTCCATGGTATTTTTTGGAAACCTAGAAAAATTATAGTCTAAAACCCGTTTGGAATTGCATATTCCGCTCTCGTGTCTCTTTTCGCTCGAGCGGAATATGCCGTATTCCAAACTTGTTACAGAATATACTATTCTACAATTATTGCTACATATAAGAATATTTATTTATTAAATCTTTTATATATTTTTTAGATTGAACAAGACTTTAGTTTGCTATATCCCAATAAGCCCACTTTGTCTGAAAGGTTTGAAACCTATTGTGATAAAATCTTAGACACTTATGCCAAGACCTGTTCTCAAGTTAATTCTGAACTTTTAATTAATGAAGAAGACAATGTTGAAGGTATTTTCAATGTTTACAGAAAGCTCTTGAAACTTAATTTTGTTTTTTAGTATGGCCGAAAGAAATAAGGGCTATTCTAGCACTGTTGCAAATATTGCGACCGACCGCTCGGGGAAAAAAATGTCCCAATGGTAACACCATTCAAATTGCGACAAAAAAACTGCTGATATTTAAAAAGGTAAGTGCAATTATATTTTTATATAATAATAATTTTAGCATATTTATTGTGTTAACATAGATCAGAAAAATATTGGTCTTTCGATTAAGTAAAACACCTTTAAATAATAATAATATTTAATAAAAAACAAATGGCTTCTTTAAATACACATTTTTTTGTAGAACAATGTGCCTTTAAGTGATATAATAAAAGAGAACCACGACCATAAGCAGCCTTATTTAATAATCGAAGGTTTGTCAATGGGTAGGCTCATAAGCTTTCACATTTGTGTGGACCAAATAGTTATCCCGTTGGAAAAAGTAGCCTCACCGATTGAGGCCATTGATATACTTTTCATGTGTCATTTCGTATTTAATATCGAATTTGACTTTGCTTTAAAAAATTTTTGGACATTTATTCAAGTCTTTTTCTACGATATTGACAGCTCAGATATCACTCCTAAAATACGAGAACTAAGAGCAAAATTATCATTATAATTTGTTTTCATTTACGTTTTTCTTTAATTTGCTTAATGTAGAAATATGAAATTCAATGGGTAAATCTAATTTGTACTAATTACTATATTTTCATAAAAAAATGACTTTGCTTTGTTTCATTTGTCACGCAAAATTTAATTTAGTTTATGACATAATAAAACATTTAAGATCGTTTCATCATTTATATGATGGAGGCAGTCTCAATTTAAAATGTACTTTTGCCAATTGTGGTTCTATTTTTCAAAGCTATAGTGGATATCGTAGACATTTGCTTAGCCATAAAGAACAAACAGATGAAACTATTGAGTTTACTACCCCCAGTCAAAATTTAAACTTTCCACATACTGAGTTAAACGCTTATAAAGATAATACTGATTTTTTATTTAATGTTGATTCCGATATTCCAAATGAAAATAATGTTGAAACTGACGAATTTGATGAGCTAGAATACATTGCAACAACTTTTTTCAATCAAATTTCATCATTAAGTATTCCAAAATCAACAATGGTTCAAATTTTTGAATATACGTGGGAATTTACTGAATCTTTGTTAAATAACATAATAAAAGGCAATAAAAATGAAACCGATTTGCAAAGTAAAATCTGTAAACTTGAAAATGAATTTAAAAATTTTAATAATAATTACAAAATCGATAAATTATTACGTAAAAATATTGTTCTTCCTAAAGAAATCGTAATTGGTCATAGAACTGACCAAATTTTTAATTCACAGACAAACACTTACGTTGAAAAAAATGTCCCTTCTACATTTATGTATATACCGATATTAGAGACTCTTAAGAAAGTTCTCAGTGATGAACATATCAAACATTTAGTTTTTCGCGATAATAAAAATCTAGATCCAAACATCCTTTATGATTTGTCTGATGGAAAATATTTTCAAAATCATTCGTTGTTTTCTTTAAATCCCAATTCTCTTCAAATACAATTATATTTTGACGAATTTGAAACAACAAATCCGTTGGGCTCCAAGACAGGTATTCACAAATTGGGTGGATTGTATTTCATATTAAGAAACATTCCTCCTTACTTAAATTCTATTTTAAAAAATATTTATCTGGTAGGATTATTCTATTCCGCTGATTTAAAAACCATAGGTTTCAACCGAATTATCAAGCCTCTACTGGATGACATTAAAATTTTAGAGACTCAAGGACTTCAAATAAATTTAGATATTAACACAAGCTATACTATCAAGGGGTCTATTGTTGCAGTCATGACAATTTAGGGGCTAATATGATGCATGGAATGGTAGAAAGCTTTTCGGCAAAATATTTTTGTAGAATATGCCTTATCGAAAAAAACGATATTCAAACAAACTTTCTCGAAGATATTACAATTTTACGTTCAAATAATACTTATGAAAGGCATTCAGCTCAGGCAGAAGCAACTGGCAGCATTTGTTTTGGAATAAAAAATAGAAGTATTCTGAATGATTTAAAATATTTTAAGTTATGTGAGACTCGATCAGTTGACATAATGCATGATATATTGGAAGGTGTGGTGCAACTTGAAATAAAATTGTTTTTAAGAATATTAATAGAAAAAAAAATCATAACTTTAGAATCTATTAATAATCGATTAAAATCTTATAACTTTGGAAAAATACATTCAACTGAAAAACCTAGTATTATAAATTTGGATAAACCTGGACATCTGATAGGGCAGCGTGCAGTTCAGACATGGGTTCTAATCAGATTTTTGCCCCTAATTATTGCTGATATTATAAATAATAATTCGGAAATAGAACTACATTGGAATGTTATTCAACTTCTCATTAAAATTATGCTTATATCGTTTGCCCCAAAAATAGAAACATTATGGATTTCCTCTTTGCGAGAACTTATCAAATTGCATCACTCATTATATAAACAAGTCTTTAATCACCCTCTCATCCCAAAACATCATTTTATGGTACATTACCCAAAAACTATTGAGCAAATGGGTCCTATTGTCCATTTGTGGAGTATGCGTTTTGAGGCAAAACACTATTACTTTAAAAATTTAACCCCTAAATTACGAAACTATAAAAACTTGGCCAAATCCTTAAGCTTTAGGCACCAAGAGTGCTACCATGTAAGCTCGGAAATACCCATTGAATTTCATGTTTTTAAGAGATTTCAAGTTAAAGATTATTATTACAAAAGTTTAATTAATGACGCAATAGACGTCTCGAACGAAAATACCGTAACACAACTTGTTTGGATCAAAAAGGGTTACAAGTATGAAAAAAAATATTTTATTTTTATTAGGATTGAGGTTGATAGGAATTTACCTATCTTTGGGGAAATAATTGATTTATTTTTATTATTAGATCAGGTTTATTTTGTTTGTAATATTTTTTGTACAGTCGCTTTTGATCCAAAACTGTTATGTTACGAAATACAAAAAAATGAGGAGGAAAATTTTGATCTCGTTGCTTTAAATTGTTTATTTTATAAAGAGCCATATGAAGCTCATCAGTCGTTCAGTACAACTAAGCAATATATCATTCCAAAGTACAATTTTTGTTAATAACTCATACTACATACTACATACATACTTTGGAATGGTATATTGCTTAGTTGTATTTTAACATATAGGGTATTTTTGATCTCGTTACTTTAAGTTTTTTGTTTTATAAAAAGCCTTTTGAAGCTCATTAATAATATAATATATTGTATATATTGTATACAACTATTTTTTAAGTATACCTACATAGTTTTTGATCTCGTTACTTTAAGTTTTTTGTTTTATAAAAAGCCTTTTGAAGCTCATTAATAATATAATATATTGTATATATTGTATACAACTATTTTTTAAATGTATACATTTTTGTACGTACGTTTTTTGAAATACATGTTTGGTTTTATGATAGTGTCTTATTTTTATAAATGTACCTACCTTAAATAAGTTTGCAAATTAAATGCCAACTTACTTACCTTCCTTACAACATAATATTTAAATATCTGAAGTATTCTCGTGTATACTATATATTATATATTTTAATCATACCAGGTGAAAACTATTTTCTGGAACATTGGAAATTATACATGCAAATAAATATAAATTGCAGAAATAGCTTTATTTTTACTTTTTGCCTTGAATGTTTTATTAACACCAATAATATATTATATTATATTATTATTATTTATTATAATAAAACATTAAAGGTAAATCATTTTTTGGTAAGTTTTAATTAATTTTTAGTAAACTTTAACACATTTTGGTGTTAAAATACGGCAGTTATTACAAAATTTAATCGTCACTTTTTGGGGTCTTGAAAAATACATGCATATCTATGCATGTATTTATCAAGGCCCCAAAAAAACGACGATTAAATTTTGTAATAACTGCCGTATTTTAACACCAATAGTTGTTAAAGTTTACTAAAAATTGATTAAAACTTACCAAAAAATGATTGATTTATTACACAACTTTTATTACATAATTTAATATTATGTCTTCAAATTTAATTTATAATGAGTAGAATTAACACTATTTTGTGAAAACAAGTCACTAAAGTGTGTTAAAATTAAATCAAAATAAGTTCAAAGTTACTTAAAAATATGTAAATTTTTACCCAATTTTTCGAAATAAATCACTTTTTTGAGTTAAAATTCACTTAAAATGTATTAATATATTTAACTCATTAAAAGGTAAATGTTACTAAAAAAAATGAGTTAATTTTTTACACAATCCGGTGAGGACTCGTTTTGACAACACTTTGAGTTAATTTTGAGTTAAAATCCACTCAAATTTTTTTAGTGTGTATCGTATGAAAACCTCATGACATATGTGTCGGTAAATAAAATACTTTTTAAATTATAAAGTCCTTTAAAGGCAATAGATCTTTGCTTTAAAGCATATCACGCATTGCATGCTTCATATCCAGTTGACGCCGAACCTTCTTGGATGTACATTCAAAAGGGAGTTTTAGATTTGACAACTAAGTATGACAAAAAGTTTTCATCTGTCGACACATTGCTGATGTCAAAGTTATTTTTAACACTTAATTAATTGTTAGTTATATTTGTTTGTTAATTTTAGCTGTTAGTATACTAAAAAAATAGAGGTTAATATTTTCCTTTTAAATAGTTTTTACTCAACTACTCAAATGTTTTAAGTGTTTCGCGCACTTCGTATTTGCTCACGAACTTATAAAACATTTAAGAACAGACCACATTCTAAAGGACAATGATATTTTAAGTTGTTTTAGAGTTTATAATAATTTCAATTCTTTTAGAAAACATCTTCTAAACTGCCATCAGAACGTTCAAAATCAATAAAATATTTCACCAAGTAGAAACGACAATCAAAATAACACCACAAACTCAAATGAAATTTCAAATATATTATCTAATAACACTTCTGAAATTGTAAGTAAGTCAACTGAAGAAAAAGTTGATGATTTCAATAAAGTTTTAACACATATTGACGAATTTTAGAGAGATTTGAATCTAATAGTTACTGAAATGTACAACAACTCCTTGGTCCCAAGAAAATTTATTCAGTTCATTATTTAAAATTTTGAAAATATCATGTTAAAAAGATTTGCTTCACTTATTACAAATTTTGTAGTTGATAAATTACCGGCAGATTTTGAGAATGTGAACGTTTTGCAGGCGCTAGTTCATTTTTTAGAAAATTGTTTTTCTGACAAATTCAGAATACAAATGTATAAAATAATAATAATAATAATAATAATAATAATAATAATAATAATAAATCTTTATGTAGCAATTTTGCTATAAAAAACAATACATAAAAGGAAAAAAAACAAAGATACTTATACAAAAAAATATAAAGTAATGTAAAGTAATATAAAATATAACACAGAATATGATGATAAATAGTACACAATAACAAAAATATAACAACAGATAAAATATACAAACTATACTCGTATAACAGGTACAATATGTTTATGTTTATGGGGATCACAGTTGTTTTGAGATAATACATTTGGTTAACAATTTTCTAAACGTATTAAAATTATCACAATACTTTATTTCAGTTGGCAAATTATTAAATTGGATTAAACCATTTCTAAAAACAAAATTTCTTAGTTGTGAAGTTCGGCAAAGTTTCACATTAAAGTCATTTCTGCTTCTTGTGTTGTATACATGCTGATCCGAAATTAGTTCTAAATTGTCATGTAAATATTTCGGTAGCATTTTGTTTTTAATTTTATAAATAAATATTAACATATTAAATAAGATTCTACTTTGGACAGACATTAAATTTAAAACATTTAGCATTGTTTTAATTGGTGTATACCTATTACAAAATAATATCGTCCGCATACAACGGTTTTGAATGCACTGAATTTCTTGAATGCGGTAGGATGGCAAACCAAAGAAAATTGTGGAGCAATAGTCAATATGAGGTGCTATCAAACTTTTATACAATAATAATTTTGTTCGCAAACTTAAATTTTTACTAATTCTTTTGAAAAATTATATAAGAAGTCTGAGATTTTTGTTGAAAGTATGGACATAATAATTGGAGAGAAAATGCAAAAAGTGCAAAAAAATAATATTGCAGTACTAAAACCTATTCCAGTTAAAATTAAAAAATTTTCCCTTAGGGATCTCTTAACAAAATTATTAAAGAAAGACGACGTTTTGTTGAATATGAAAGAATATTTATTAAATTTACAAAAAGAGGACACAATTATCGAAATCTTTGTTTTAGTGTTTTTAAATTTTAAGATGTCATTTTAAAGCTAAAAAATAGTAGTTTTTATAAAAAAATATATAAATTTATTTTTATAAGTCCGGGAATAAAAACAGCCGGGGAGGGCTGGTCAGTCTCCATAACAGGCATAGGAGACTCGAGGCCTAGAGGGAAAAGCAGCCCACAGGTTGGCAAGCCCAAGAACAATGAAGGTACCTTTAATGCTGACACACCAAGTCAGAAAACGGACGAAGCTGCAACATGCCTAACAAAAGGCAAAAGAAGACTCAGCGAAGATAATAATAAGCAACCCAATAAACAAAAAAGTGACTAATAGAGACCGCACAGGAAGTCGGAAAGTTGTCCGAACAAATCAAACAATACACTCAGGTCCCCACACAATAAAAGGTACCAAAACAGAGAAAAGCTCAGGAAAATGGTAGAATGCATCTTCTGGGAAAAAACACACTAGTGTACATATATAGCGAAGGCAGGGTAAAGAATAAAAGCGGTAGGGAAAAACCACATACGCCCTGGTACTGAAAAACAGCGCGCGCCACCACCACCGAATTGACCAATAAGGGCCGCGCTTGTTTTGATTTGGTCCTTGATTTTTCAAAAAGCTACCAAAAGCACTTTTTTCATGATTTTTTAAATTCATGGAGAGTACCTATGGAATTTTTTTTTCAAAAAAATAATAGCAAATTCTTGTAGGTCATTTATTCATTGGTGGTTAAGTCAGAGCATTCCGTGGACCAGAAAGCCAAAAAAATCGATTTTTTTATTACGGTATTTGTTAGGATTGAGAGTTGCACATTTTTCATCTAAAAATCTCAAAACTTGAAACTTCAAGCTTCAAATTGCTTTTTTTACGGCTCCAATACGACCATTTTTAACAAGGATACAGCTATCCGAAGAATCGCAAATCAATATTTTTTATCCTTTAATTTTTTGTATTGGTGTAGAAGTTTTACATTGCTACTGGTTTCTAATGTTGAACCTACCAAATAAGAAATCAGATTTTTTAGTCCCGCTCAAAATTTTCAATAATGAAAAGTTTAATATATTCTACATTTCACTTTATTTTAGGGTCTGTGCCGTCGGCTTGACCCTTGACGAGATTACGTCCCTGATTTCACTCCGACACGCCCCATTCACGCCCCCACTTTCCCCCGTCTAGTCTGATTCCCGCGACGTGAGCCGATCGCCGATCGAGGAAAGCCGATCGACCCTTGGATCCGTTCCGCGCGCGGGACTCTTCTTCAGTACGCTTTGATATTGCTTCGATGCGTGTACGTTATTCCGCCTCTCAGTGTTTTGCAATAAGGGAAGAAAAGATCGGTATTTAGTGGGTGATATCTTGTTGAAAAGGTAAGGATTTTATTTGTTTGTTAGGTAGTGGATATAATACATGATGCAGGAGTGTAACCAGCTCCTTTTCCACAGTTGTGTGAGATATATTTATGATCCAAGCATCCTATGATCTTGATCATATTATTGGCTATACGATAGGGTTATAGTTTTCCTTTTCGTTTGCATTTTGTACCTTTATATACCAGGCTATCGCGCCGGCCAAAAGGCGGAGCCGCACCGGCCAAAAGGCAGAGCCGCGCCGGCCAAAAGGCGGAGCCGCGCCGGCCAAAAGGCGGAGCCGCGCCGGCCAAAAGGCGGAGCCGCGCCGGCCAAAAGGCGGAGCCGCGCCGGCCAAAAGGCGGAGCCGCGCCGGCCAAAAGGCGGAGCCGCGCCGGCCAAAAGGCGGAGCCGCGCCGGCCAAAAGGCGGAGCCGCGCCGGCCAAAAGGCGGAGCCGCGCCGGCCAAAAGGCGAAGCCGCGCCGGCCAAAAGGCGGAGCCGCGCCGGCCAAAAGGCGAAGCCGCGCCGGCGAAAAGGCAGAGCCCTGCCGGCAAAAGGAAAAGCGGCGCCGGCCAAAGCGGGCCCGCTGACTAAAAAGTGGAGACCACACCGCTCGATTTCAGCTGGCTTCCACACAAAAAAAAAAAAAAATAGGCTGTAACTTTTCTAATTCTGTTATTTTCTTCCAGAAAATGGAAGCTAACATGCAGGCTATGGAAGAGTTAGTTGAGTTGGAGCCATCAGATGCAGCAGATAAGGCGATTTTCAGTCGAATAGTTAAACTCGCTAACAAACGTCTGCCAGAGGGTTGGAAACAGTGGAAAGTCTTTTCGTTCAATAGGGAGAGTCTACTAGGAAAGGACTATGATCCCCACGTTCTCAACAAAATTAGATTCGCACTTCCTACAGTAGAAATGGTACAAGCATTTAACCCAGAAGCTACACACGTTTCAGAGAAGGGGTACAGAGAGATGAAACTAAGCATGCTAAAATGGCCGTTTTGTATTGGCCTGATTATAAGCCCATCAAGCCTGGCTTCTTGCGTGAGGGGATCTACAGCGCAAAATGAGCTGGTGGTAGCGGCTGTTAGCAATTTAAAGCATTTGATGGTAGGACAGAAAGAAGCTTCTCGACAGCTCTCGAGGGATGTCGACGATTAGGATGGAGATAATTTAAGTTTAAATACCAGGGGATCGAGGAGTAAAGATCGAAGTCAGAGTAGGGTTTCTGAGGTGTCCGATAGGGGCCGAATTGATAAGTTAGAAAAGTCTACTGAAGAATTAAAGCACATGTTTCAGTCGTTTATGGAGGCCTTTAACAATCATTCTGAAAGAGCTACACCTGATACAGAAATCGATCGCTTAGACGCCTCGTCAATACATGATCAATCGGATGGCTCAGAAGAGGTTTATAATTCAAAAGACTTACCACCTTTGTTGGATTTGGAATTAGAAGAGGAAGTCGAAGACGACCTTCCTGTCGACTTCGCTCCGCAAACCAGGGAACAGGAACCATCTATTCCTCCAGCAAAGCCTCATATTAAATCTCAGGGCATTGATTGCTTAAGATTAGGAAAAACTTTCTTTAATCGGGTTAGATACGCCGATGTCCAGAAAAAACTCCAGGCCTCACCTGTGTTTTGCGCCCTAAACAATCAGCTATTGCCTAGGGTTTCGAACAACGCCTCTTTTGATCAGCTTTCAAAAACAGATTTGACATTGGGCACTATTCTTCATGGTCTCCTGATGCAAAGGGATTCTTTTGCCGAAGCTATGAAAAAGCTTGTGGGAAAACACCCTTCTATTAAAAGGGATGTGCAAGAGCTTTTGGTTGGGCCGGAATCACAGTTCCGTCAAAATTCTGATGACGTTTTGCAGTACGTTTCAGGAAGAAGATCAGAAGTAATTGATCAAAGAAGAAAATTCTTTTTCCAAAAGAATTCTCAGATGAACTTTCTTCTTGAAGGTATTCCTCCATCTACGACTCATTTGTTTACAGAGGAACCGCTGACCGACTTGATTAGGCAGCATGGAAATCCATTTCGTACTTCATACAAAAAACCCATTGGATATAACCGACCGGTATTCAAACCTCAGGCAGGGTCCAGCAGGCCGCAAAATCAAGCGAAAAGGTCTTTCATCAAAACCGCACAACCTGGGCACGGAAACCGAGGCTATTCTTCCAAAGAAACTGAGAATAGGAAAAGACGTTACTTTTCCAGAGTTGATGAGTCCTCTGCGAAGAGGCCAAGAAAACAATGACTACGACCAATCTCTCTTCCAAGCGGGGCAATTACGAAATTATTTAGACCGCTGGGAGACATTGAAGGCTCCAAAAAGGGTATTGGAGTCCATAAGGGGTTACTCACTTCCTTTCATCAAAAAACCACCTCTCACCACCACGATCAGCATGTAAAAATATCTTATGCAACACTTCATTTGGATGTAGAAGTAAAGAAGATGATCAATCAAGGCGTTCTGGAAAGGTCGACCTTTCAAACAGGGTTTTTGTCTCAAATGTTTTCAACACCAAAACCGGACGGTTCCAAAAGGCCAATTTTCAATTTGAAAGCTCTAAATCAATACCTCAATCCAAAAAGTTTTCGGCTCATAAACCACAGGAAGATCCCAGTCTTCTTACAAAACAAAGGCTTTATGACCAAGATAGACATTTCGCAGGCTTATTTTCATATTCCGGTAAAAAAAAGATATCGAAGGTTTTTGTCGATGATTTACCAAGGGGAAGTTTACCAGATGACTTGTTTGCCTTTCGGCCTTTCAACTGCCCCCCTAGAATTTTCTCGCATTGCCAACTGGATAGCGGGATGCCTTCGCAAGAAGGGCATAAGAGTTGTGGTCTATCTAGACGACTTTCTTTTGGCCAATCAGAATATGGAAATTCTACGCCTTCAAACAGAAGAAACAGTAGCCTTCCTGGAGCATCTGGGTTGGCGATTTAACAAAGAAAAATCGATAATAGAGCCTTAGTCATGTCTGGAGTACTTGGGGATCGAGTGGGACACATGGGGGGACAAGATTTCTTTGCCCTTAAAGAAAAAAGAGTCAATAAAAAAGGATTTGCAAACAATTCTGAAATATCATCAGTGGAATTGGAGACTAGCAAAGAGATTGCTGGGAAAGATGTCTTTCGCATCTTTTGTAACCCCCCTAGGAAGGCTGAACACAAGAAGACTACTTCGAGCAAGTTTATCGCTCCCCGAGAAAGAGCCAAGTTTGGGGTTCAAGATTTCAAACGAAGTGCTAGTAGAATGTTGTTGGTGGACGGAAAACATAGAAAAGCCATCTCATCTCTTTCCAAAAAACCCGGAGGTATTCATAGCCACGGACGCAAGCGATCTTGGATGGGGAGCTCATGTGGACAACCAGATCATAAAAGGTTTATGGTCAACATCTCAAAAATTATGGCACATAAATTGCAAAGAAATGTATGCAATTTATATAGTTCTCAAACAATGTGCAATAAATTTGAAGGCCAGAACAATTCTGGTGCAGTCAGACAACCGGACGGTAGTGTCCTATTTAAAAAACCAAGGGGGAATGAAATCAGTAAAGTTGCTTCAAATGACACGTTCTGTCCAGGAACCAACCTCTTCCGGACTGGCACCTACTACCGTCTCTAACGAGTCAGATATTTCATGCATGGGGAACGCCACAAATAGACCTGTTTGCGAGTCAGACCTCGCGAGTGGTAAAACGTTACGTGTCCAGGGACGTGAACGATCATCAGGCGGAGTTCACGAACGCCTTCAGTCGCAATTGGAATTACAAATTAGCATGGGTGTTTCCACCTCCAAGTCAAATTCCCAGAGTTTTGAATCACCTCAATTCAGCGAAAGGAACATTTATTCTGATTGTGCCCAATTGGGAAAAAGTATTCTGGTTAGCGGATGTGAAAGCAAGAGCGCTGGGCCCACCATTGAAGCTGAAGGATCTTCATCATCACTTAGTGGACTCCCACAATCAAAGAACCTTACCTCGAGTCCAATAATTAAGATTGGAGGCTTGGCAGGTACAGGGTGGGCCGCTATGATAAGAAAATGGTCGGCTCAAGAAATAAATTTGCTTAAAGCATCATGGCGAAGCTCATCATTAAAATCCTATGCGGCGCCATGGAGGGATTGGGTGAAATGGTGTAAGAAAGAACATGTGTCACCAAACGATCCTGACTCAGTTAAAGTTGCTCAGTACCTAGCGTTCCTTCATCATGATAAAGGCTTGGCTCCGAGTACAATCAAGTTGCACAAGTCAGTGATAGCTACATTCGCTAACCCAGATAAAAGTGGCCTAATAGCCAACCATCCTTTAATTAAAAGAATTTTAAGAGCCATTGAACTTAGTAAACCAATCTCCAAGAGAAAGACTACCTGGGATATAAATCTTCTAGTCTCCTGGATGAAATCGGATAAAGTAAATGAAAATAGCTTGTTTCAAACATCTAGAAGGCTCGCACTAATTTTGCTATTAGCATCAGGTCGTAGAATACATGACCTAATATTGTTAAGGATAAACGAGGATGCCATGACTATTTCTGAAGAGTCAGTAGTTTTTTGGCCTGTATTCGGCTCAAAGACGGATAAAGCAAATTCAAGACAATCCGGATGGAAGCTATTAAAAAATTCAGACTGCGAGTTGGATACAGTGTACTGGGTTAAAACCTTATTAAAAGTGTCTGCTTTAAGAAGGAGTGCAAAAAAAGATCTTTTTCATCTATTCATTACTTCTCGGGGTAGAGTGGCGCCTGCATCTAGGGCGGCCATCGCTGGATGGGTTAGAACGGCCTTTGTGAAAGCAAGAATAGACTACTCTCCAGGCAGCATTAGATCAGCGGTTTCGTAATCTAGATTTAATAATAATATGCCATTAGATGTCATTTTGAGAAGTGGAAACTGGAAGGGAAGTTCAAATTTTTTTAAGTACTACTATAGAGAGATAGACTGCCAAGGATTATCTTCAAAAAATAATGATTTGGTTCGCAATACATTCGTACCTATTTGATATTTAAGTTGTATTCAGAATTGGCCCTTAAGGACAATATTTTGTTAATAATTATTAATAAACCTTGTTATGAATTTTATATTTGCCTTTATTTCGGTTTAAGTTTTATATATATATATATATATATATATATATATATATATATATATATATATATATATATATATATATATATATATATATGTGTGAATATATTCACAATAGTCACAGTACGCTTCCACGTCGTCGTCAGAATCTAAACACATCTCGTCAAGGGTCAAGCCGACGGCACAGACCCTAAAATATACAGCGTTTTCCCCCCGAAGGGTAGAAAACGACTTATTTTAGGTCTTGCCTAGGCTTGACCCCGGTAAGCCCTTGACGACTTACAAGGGTACTAAAGAAGAGTCCCGCGCGCGGAACGGAATCAGACTAGACGGGGGAAAGTGGGGGCGTGAATGGGGCGTGTCGGAGTGAAATCAGGGACGTAATCTCGTCAAGGGTCAAGCCTAGGCAAGACCTAAAATAAGTCGTTTTCTACCCTTCGGGGGGAAAACGCTGTATATTATTAATATATATTTTACTCAAAATTTTGAAAAAAAACAAAAAAAACCGTTTTTTCATGTTTTTTTTCACATCTGAAAAAAACCGTTTTTTTACATCTCTACTTGTGGTAAAATAAAAATTCAACTTTTTTCATGATGAGTTTTAAACATAAAAAAATGTAAAACATGTACGTTTTCATAAAGGAAATATCCAACAGTTTTTATTAATAATATTCTTTCTTCTTGTGATGGTATTAATGATCTCGGTGTCTACTTTGACAATAAATTGTCATTCTCTATTCATATACAAAATTTAGTTTCCCAGGCATTTAAAGTATTGGGCTTTATAAGCAGGAACTCTCGAGGATTTAAAAATGAAACGGCGATAAAATCTTTATATTTTTGCTTGGTAAGATCTAAAATTGAATATTGCTCCATAATTTGGTCTCCGCACTTTAATAACTCAGTTATAATAATTAAGAATGTTCAACGTAAATTTTTAAAACTATTATTATTTAGGCTAGATAATGTCTACCCAATCAGATGTATTGAACTTCAGTTACTGCTTGATCGATTTGATTTTGATTCAATTCAATTTAGGAGAGTTTGTTCTGGTTTAAAATTATTCTTATACAAAATTTTTCACAGTGAAATTTACTGCTGTAATATTTTATTAATTTTTAATCTATATGTTCCTAGACTAAATTCTCGTAATAACTATATGTTATACTGCGATAATGCTCGTACTGTAATATTAGCTAACTCACCAGTGCATGTTATATCTAATAACTATAACCAGATAAGCCATGTATGTGATATGTTTTTTTCTAATTTATCTTGTATATTAGCTGTTGCTAAAGAAATGTTTTGATATAACCTTTAAATTTTTTATTTTGTCCTTTTATTGGAAATGTATTTTATGTTGGGCAAATAAATTATTATTATTATTATTATTAGGTAAACAACAATCTGTATATATTTGTGTATCTTTTTTCTATATGGAGCTCGGTCATACATTACATAAGTTTAAATTATAAAATATTTTTATTTTGGTTATATAATATAATAAATTTTATAAGTAACAGTGCCTAAAAGGCAAAGAAAATTCTGTTCTAATCTAAAATCTAGGCCTGCCTGGACAGCAGAAAAAGTGACAATTTCTCGATTTTAAAAATACAGTTATATCAATATTACATACATGGTTTAACCATGATTAACCAGTTTTGCCACACGGTTATTTATATACTATTAAACGGGTGGAGGGCCTAAGCAAGCGCAGCGAGAAGATCTACGGCAAACATTATTGTTATTTTTAAATATAATAATTTAATTAATTAAACCTCTCCTTGTGTTTTATTGTCAACAAACAAACATAGAAGAACAGAAATTCAATTTTCTCTACATAAAATGGTCCTTCGAACAGGATATACAGTTAACTCTTTGAAGTATATTGGGACAAAATTTTAACCACCTAATTCTCGACGTTTTATGTAAAATAATTTTCTGCGTTGTAGTACGACGGTTTCTTTTATGTCCCATAGTGGCAACGTGTATTCTTATGATAAACAAAAGGAATTTATTTGATAGAGGGCGCCAAGTAAAGTATAGCGGCCGGTATTATCATTTGTTTGTTTACATTTTTAACAGCACATTTTGTCCTGAAAAAAGGTAAGTTTTTTCTGTTTTTATATTAAATTAAATGTTTTTTTTTGTTAAATCCGGTTCAACTACTTTTTATTAAGAGGCATGTGGTATTAATCGTATAAAATTTTTAAAAAATATCCCCAAAACAATCTTTTTAAACCTCGGGTTAAATTATGTCCCACCGTACATAAAAATTTTTTTTTTTAGATATGGCTAGTAAACGCAATCGAGAACCATTATCATTCAAACTTGTGGGTATGACGGAAGAAGACTTGTACAACGAAATTGACAATCTTGATAAATCAGACAGTGAATATGTCAATCTTCCATCAGACAAAGGCTCCGATAATGATAGTGATTTTGAAGATCCAGATCAGGAGTTGGACATTTTACCACCATCTGACGAAATAGTTATAACAGCAGGACCTGTTGAAATATGGGATCCTGAAGACCTGATATCTCTAAGTGACTTGAGAAAATTATGGAAAATCGAGTGGACCCAAAGTAAAGATATATCTTTACCAAGAGCTTCATCTTTTAATTTCGATTATTATTCCGGAGTAAATGAAATCGTAAATAATTTAGACCATGTGACGCCTTATAATTTATTTAAATTGCTATTGACCGATGAAATTATTAATCATATAGTATTCCAAACTAACTTTTATGCTGAACAAACATTTCAAAAATGGAAAACCTTACAAACCAACTGACCCCACAGAAATTCGTACATTTATTGGGATAAATTTTCTTATAGGTATCAAACAATTACCGTCATATCGCGATTACTGGTCCACACAACCTACACTGCATGACCCGTATATTAGTAAGTTAGCAACTGTTCATCGCTTTGGTTGGATTCTAAGCAATATACATCTCAATGATAATAATTTCATGCCTGACAGAAATTCAGATAACTTTGAGAAGCTCTATAAAGTCAGACCATTCTTGGAACTATTAAAAACAAATTTTAAAACCTGTATGAGTCCTCATGAACACTTAGCAGTAGACGAATCCATGATTAAATTCAAAGGCCGTTCCAGCATAAAGCAATTTATGCCTGAAAAACCTATTAACAGAGGATATAAAGTTTGGATGATTGCTGACGAAACCGGTTATTGTTGGGATTTTGATATTTACACGGGCAAAACTGGTACTGGAGTAGAAAAAAGTTTAGGCACCAAAGTCGTAAACAAATGACAGGACTTGAAAATAAGTACTACAAATTTTTTTTGACAATTTTTTTACTAATGTAAGTGTAATGGATAAATTAGGCCATAAGTTAATTACCTTTAATACAATACTTAAGTTTGGCAATGTCCGACACAGCATTTCATTGATTGCAATAATATGTTATTAAGTAGGTTAACTAGGTATATTTTAGTATTATTGATTATGTTGCATTTTGTTATTTAGTTTGTAAGTTATAATAATAAAAACCATTTGAATGAAACCAGTCTTTGAATTAACAACTATCTTAAACCTCAAGTGACTACATGGCGATCCTGCCTTAAAATTAATGTCAAAGTGTTAAAAACCTGCAAAATGTTCTACAAGATATAAGTGTAGTTGAACAACAAATCAGAAGATGTGCGGGGCAAAAGTTTCAAAAGAGGAAGTAATTATAGCCCAAGCAGGCAATAGTGGTGGCCAAACCAACACAGAAACCTTTTCCCGTATGGAGGTTCTTCTGCTCGTGGCATGTGCGGTGATCATCTTATTCGTATGTATCCGCTGTCATTCATACATTAAGAAGAAGTTTGAAAAAAAAGTAAGGCAAGAGGTTAGAAGAAGTCAAGAACTCATCTAAATAAGCTGATCCACAACCAGTTGTACCATACCGGGACTGGCATCGAGGGAACGTACCTAGTTGTTGACATATTTCGCTAGTACGCAACAAAGAAAAATACTAGAAAGATCCAGGACAATGCAGACCCATCCAAGGTGCAGGAAACAACAACCAACAAAAAAGAACATATATATAAGGTTAGATCTAAAAAATTAGTTAAGAATATATATTAAATGAATAGAGTAGTTTTAAAGCAATTTAGGGAACTTTATGAAGTAGTCAAGCAAGTTTATAGTAATATTGGGAAAGAGCCACAGGATAGGCGGTTAGATTTAGATAGAGTTAATAAATGGGTTTTAGAAGTAGGGATTTTAGAAAATCAGTTAGAAAAATTAAAAAGTGATTTCAAGTCGGACGAAAGCGATACAAAAGAAATAGATGACGTAGCTGCTTATGTTAGGGAAATCGGGAAAAATTTATATCAATCTCGAAAAAAATTTAACGAAAGGCTAAAAGTAATTTGTGATCAAAAAGAAACTAGTAGAAGTATCGAAAATCTTACAACCATGGGGGAAAAATTTTGTTTAAAAACTGCTGTATCATTACTGCCGTCTATGGATGGTACTGAGGATACAACTAAACAATTAATAGATGCTATTGATCTTTACAACTCTATGTTAAATGCGGAAGGTAAACCATTATTAGTTCAATATGTGCTTAAAGCCAAGTCATCGCAAAGCGCAAAACTACGCATGAATAAAACGTACGATACGGTGGATAACTTGGTAAAGGATATGAAAAAACATTTACTTTCCGAAAAATCTGCAGCTGTTTTGGCTACGGAGCTGCATAGGGCAAGGCAAGAAGGAAACTCTATTGAGGACTTTTCAAAAACTATAGAAGATTTGTTTGTTAACCTAACAATCGCGCAGGCCGAGGGTAGCGATGAAAACGCGAACATCCTACGCAATGTTAATGAAAAGTTGGCTATTAACGCATTTTCTAACGGGCTAAAAAACAACGATCTCCGTACAATTGTGAAAGCGCGAAATTACTTATCTCTAAAAGACGCCATTGCAGGTGCAAAAGATGAGGAAAAAGTTAAATTTCCTAATCCGGTGCATAATAATTTTCATTTGCAACCAACTTATAAAAGGTATAATAATCGGGGAAATCATGGTGTGTTTAATTGTAATAAATTTAATAGGGAAAGACCATTTAATAGGTATCAAAACAATAGAAGTACTGTAAACACAAACGCAAACAATAATCAGCAAAAAGGATATAATACTACTAGAGGTCATTATCGCGGTTCATTCAGATCTGGATCAAATTACCGAGGACGTAGTAATCGTAATATAGGTCATCAAACTAATTATTACACGTCTACAGATGCGGGTGAAAATTCTCTAAAGTCAGAACAGTCACAGAGGTTTTTTCGTCCCCGAGAGTGAATGTGTAATTTTTAATTTAAATGGTATGAATGTTGTGCATGTGAAATATGGAATGCAAGAGTTGTTGTTTTTGCTAGACACTGGAGCGAGTATTAGCGTAATTTTTTCAGATTATATTAGTAAAAATGATTTTATTGACAACTCAAAAAGTATAAAAATTAAAGGAATAGGTGGAAATACTTATTCTTTAGGATCAGCTAATATTTCATTTTCTATAGATAATAATGAACTTAGTCATAATTTTTTGGTAGTAGATAAATTTAGTTTAGATTTTAATGGGGTGCTTGGTTCAGATTTTTTTAACAAGCACACAGCAAATATTAACTATGAAACAAAATTATTTTCATTTAATATTTTTAATAAAGTTATATCAATTTCAATGTTATCTAAATTTGAAAATTATATTTTACTTCCACCGAGAAGTGAAGTTATAAAATACTGCTCGAGTGCCTTAAAGGGTGAATGTGTCATTTATCCAGAAGAATTGTGTAAAGGTGTGTTTGTTGCGGGAGCAGTAACAATAGCAAATAATAATAAAATAGCTGTAAAATTTTTAAACGTTAATGACAATGAAATTAAAATAAAAAACTATAACCCCAGATTAGATTACGCAAAAAATTTTGAAATATATAATTTTAATAAAATTGATAATTTATCGGTAGAACGGGTAGACAAAGTTTTAGAATTGATTGATTTTAAATATTTAAATAAGGAGGAAAAAATGTCAATTGAGAAAATTTGCGCGAAATATGCAGATGTTTTTCATTTAGACGAAGATCCCCTTACGGTTACAAATCTTTATAAACAAAAACTTCAATTAAAAACCGATGCGTCACCAGTTTACGTTAAACCATATAGGTTGCCGCATGCTCAAAAAGCAGAAATACGTAACCAAGTTCATAAAATGCTTAAAGATGACATTATCGAAGAAGCTAGATGCGAATGGTCATCACCTCTTTTAATTGTTCCTAAAAAACCTGATAATAAAGGTGTGAAAAAATGGAGACTCGTAGTTGATTACCGTTTAGTTAATAAGCAAGCCATAAGGGATGAAAAATTTCCCTTGCCATCTATTAGTGAAATATTGGATTCATTAGCAGGAGCTTTATATTTTTCACACCTCGACTTATCTCAAGGCTATTATCAACTAGAATTGCATAAAGACAGTAGGCCATACACTGCCTTTAGTACAGATGAGGGGCAATTTCAAATGAAAAGACTACCAATGGGGCTTAAAATTAGTCCTAGTGCATTTTCAAGGCTAATGACTGTAGCAATGTCGGGATTAAATTATGAGGCATGTTTTGTTTACTTAGATGATTTAATTATATTTGGTAATTCATTAGAAAATCATAATAGAAATTTAATTAAGGTGTTAAATAGGCTTAGAAAAGTAAATTTAAAACTAAATCCAAATAAATGTGATTTTTTGAAAAAACAAATTCTGTATCTAGGCCATGTAATTTCATCAAGTGGAATATCTCCGGATCCAGAAAAAACTAAAAGTATTTCACAATACCCTGTACCTACAAATGCTGACGAAGCTAAGCGTTTCGTAGCGTTTGCAAATTATTATAGGAAGTTTATAAATAATTTTGCTCAAATTGCGCAACCAATAAATGAATTATCACGAAAAGGAAAAGTTTTTAAATGGACTGAGAAGTGTGAAACTTCTTTTCATACTTTAAAGCAAGCTCTCAGGAACCCGCCAGTGTTACAGTACCCCAATTTTTTAGAAAATAATAATTTTGTATTAAAAACCGATGCTAGTGGTTTTTCAATCGGTTCCGTTTTGTGTAATAGGGATAATAGGCCTATTGCTTTTGCATCTCGTGTTTTAAATAAAGCTGAACAAAATTATTGCACAATTGAAAAGGAATTATTGGCAATAGTTTGGAGTGTTAAGCATTTTAGACCATATTTGTATGGCAGAAAATTTCAAATATTTTCTGATCATCGTCCACTTGTTTATTTATTTGGTATGACGAACCCGTCAAGTAGATTAACTAAATTTAGATTAGCTTTGGAAGAATACGATTTTACAATACAATATATTAAAGGCTCAGAAAACGTCACTGCCGACGCTTTATCGCGTATAAAAATAGAATCTAGTGAACTTAAAGACATGAATGCAAATATGGATGAAAATATAAATGTGATGACGCGCGCACAATTAAAAAATAAAAACAAAAATATACAGAGTGGTTTAAAATATTCTATTAATGAAAGGTCTGATCACCCTGGATTGGTAGAAGTATTAAAACGCCCTGTCGACACCGTCGAATTAAAGATAATAGATAATAAAATTTTTAATAAATACATTAACCATGGTTGTATACGAAAGAATAATATTATATATAATGAGATATCTCAAATTATTTACTTTTCTCTAGATCACCGATCGACGTTTGACTTAGGTACATCGTTGAGGGATTTAGCAGGTATTTGTAAACGCAATAAAATTGCACAGTTATGCATTTTAAAAAATTCAGAAAATAAAACATTTATAGAAAACATATCGCGATATAAAACTGAATTGACAAATTACGGAATAAAAATATGCATAGTTAGGAATGTTAGTGCTATTGCAGATATAGAAACTAGGCAATTAATTCTTAACGACTTTCACACTCTTCCTACGGGAGGACATGCTGGAACGAACCGCATGTACTACAATATAAAAAAACATATTTTTGGTCAGGTTTAAAAAAAGATGTTTGTGATTTCGTTAAACGTTGTGACGACTGCCAAAGGCATAAATACAGCAAAACGAATAAGCAAGCAATGACAATTACGACTACAGCTACTACAGCTTTTCAGAAAGTTTTTTTAGATTTAGTAGGTCCTATTAAAACCGATTTAAATGATAATTCATATATTTTAACAATTCAATGTGAACTATCCAAGTTTATTGAGTGTTATCCAATACCAACAAAAGAAGCTCACGTTGTTGCTAAATCTTTTGTTGAAAATTTCGTTCTCCGTTACGGTATTCCTCGTGAAATAGTAACTGATCAAGGCAAGGAATTTGTAGCTAATATATTTCAGGAATCGTGTAAATTACTAAAAATAAATACTTTACATTCAACTGCATATCATCATGAAACATTAGGAGCTTTAGAAAATTCGCACAAACATTTAGGTGCATATTTGCGAATTCAAGTCTCAAAACAACAAGATAATTGGAGCACGTGGGTACCATATTGGTGTTTTGCATACAATAACACGGTACACTGCGAAACGAAATATACTCCACATGAATTGGTTTTTGGAAAATTAAGTCAAATTCCAATGAATATTAAAAATAATATAGATCCATTATATAATTTTGACAACTATCCTAATGAACTGAAATATAGACTACAAGTTGCTTGTAATGATGCTAGAAATAATTTATTAGAGTCCAAATACAAACGGAAAATTAATTATGACAAAAAAAGTTGTAACATATCTTACAATGTAGGAGATAAAGTTTTAATTTTAAATGAAAATAAGGGAAGTAAACTGGATCCATTGTATATTGGTCCCTATAGTGTAGTAAAGGATAAAAATCCAAATATTATTTTAGAAATTAATAATAAATGTATGGAAGTACATAAAAATAGAGTTAAGCATTATTTTAATTAATGAAGAAGTATTGTAATTATGCAAATGTTTAAAAATATATACATGTACGACTTTGTTTACATATATATATTTTTACTTCCGCGGGGAAGGTGTAATGGATAAATTAGGCCATAAGTTAATTACCTTTAATACAATACTTAAGTTTGGCAATGTCCGACACAGCATTTCATTGATTGCAATAATATGTTATTAAGTAGGTTAACTAGGTATATTTTAGTATTATTGATTATGTTGCATTTTGTTATTTAGTTTGTAAGTTATAATAATAAAAACCATTCGAATGAAACCAGTCTTTGAATTAACAACTATCTTAAACCTCAAGTGACTACAATTATATCAAAAAAAGATTTATGCCTGCGGTACTGTTAGAAGTAATAGAAAAGATCTCAAAACATTTAAACATGATAAATTTTTGAAGAGAGGAGATTGTGAATCATTTAGTTCTCAATATCTATCATGTTTTAAATGGTGTGACAAGAGAACTGTCCACTTGTTATCAAACTATCATGACCCAAATGAGTCGACAGAAGTAAAAAGAAAATTAAAAGATGGCACCACGGAAAATATTCCTTGCCCAACAGTACTGACCGACTACAATAAACATATGAACTCAGTTGATAAATTTAATCAGATGAGAGTAGTCTACGGAATCGATCGCAAAAGCAAAAAATGGTGGCATCGAATTATGTTTTTTTTTATTGACGCTGCAGTTGTTAATTCATATGTGCTTTACAAATTATCTCAGGAGCCTAAAATAAGCATGAAGGAATTTCGTCTGAATATTGTAGAGCACTTGGTAGCTGATAAAATTGTGAATTCTTTACAGAGTTTGGACACTTACCTACCTGTTCCGATTAAGAAACGGAAACCTTGCCAGACAGAAGCGGTCAAACTTACACAAAGTGCACATCAGCCTGTTCGTACAAGCAGACGTAGATGTTCACTTTGTAGTACAAAGGAATTTAAAGTTCGTACAAACTGGCTTTGCAGTGTGTGCCAAGTTCCTCTTTGTCTTGGGAAAAACAAGGCTTGTTTCCAGTCCTATCATCGACAATAGTAAAAATGGTCAAGTGGTATGGTGGTACAAAAAATAAACCACAATTTTTTTTTAAAAGTATGATTTATAAAAATATTTTAAAATAATTTTAAGTTAAAAGAAGACACTTAAGTTATAATTTTTTATGTTTTACATAAAACTAATAAAGTTTTTTTCCTGTACCACTACGGTTTTTTTTTCTGTATTTTTCGTAGTTAAGTGGTTTTAGAAACAGTAAATATTGTTTTGAACATAAAGAAGCCTCACGCGAAGTTGAATGGGCCTCAAAGAAAAGGATCCGCGTGCAAAGGGCTCAACTACGAAGGCAAAATTCACAAGGTTTGGACTTCCATCATCCGTATATCTCCAGTTCAGGGACAACGGTTTCTTCTGCGTTTTACGCACAGAGCACGTGGCAGAATTTGGCAGCAGGGCTCAGGCGGCAACGAAGCAGACAAGGTCAGATCTTTCCTTTCTTTTTTATCCTCTTAGCGCGCGATTATTTAAAATGGCCGATGTTGCAGAATTAAAAAATCAACGCAAAGTATGTAGACTTGTTTGATATCGCGACAAATAATTTCGATAAATTGGAATTAAGAATGGACACGGCGTCACTAATATTATCTCAATACAATGATCTGCAAACTAAAATCGACCATCTTTGCAATGACGATGATCAAATAAAACAATGGGAAGAATTTGAGGACAAATATTTCGCGACTTTGGATAAGGCTCCTATGCGCTATTCCAATCGACTTAATTAAAGTTTAAATTCGCATGACTCGCCTTCGGTTCCTTTATTGCCATCCGTAAAGCTTCCTGCTATTGAGGTGCCTACCTTTTCAGTTGATAAAAGTAAATTCCTTTATTTTCGAGACGCCTTTAATTAAATTCTTTTATCAATGATAACGCCGCGTTAACTAATAGCCATAAATTACACTTTTTACGCAAGGCACTAACGGGTGATGCTGCAAATGTGTTAGAGTCGCTAGATATCGATGCCGATAGCTATGATACAGCCATGGAATTGCTAAAAGATTGTTTCGAAAATAAACGCAGCCTTCTATACAATCTAATATTAAATATTAATAGGGTAACTCCAAATTCCTCTGAATTATTAAGTAGTTTATTGGACACAACTGAATAACATTTAAGGGCCCTTGAATATTAGATCAACCAGTACGACACTGGGACTCAATATTGATTTGTATATTGATGTCAAAGCTCGATAGCATAACGTGAAACAAGTGGGGAAAAAACGCACTCTCAACAAAAGTTCCCACATTAGATAAATTTAGAAAATTTCTAAAAAAACGCTGCTTGCTTTTAGAAACTTTAAAAACACAAGATAACGGACAACGAGACGCTAATGTCAAATCTTTTAAATCGAAGTCGTTGCCGGTTAATACAATGGTACAACATAAAACACCTGCTTGCCCTTAATGTAAGTCTACAGAACATTTTACTGAGCCCTGAGCTTTTGAAAATTACTAACTAATGCGCGTCTTCATGAAGTAAAATCGCTTAAGTTATGTATTAATTGTTTAAAGCCGGGTCACCAAGCGCGCGATTGCAGAGGGTCTGTTCTCTAAGCATAACCGTTTTTTACATTTGTACAACCAAAATGCAGCTTCGTCAGATACACGGGCTTCTGAGCCAAAAACAGCGGAAATCAAGTTCAATTTATCCAGAAAAAACGTGTTGGATCATTCTTTTAACGCACTACTTTCTACCGCTATTATTGAAGTTATGGATAAATCTGAAAAATTGTATTCATGTCGCGCTTTACTTGATAGCGGATCAGAATCGAACTTTATCACAACACACTTATGTGATTGTTTAAATCTTAACACGTTGACTGGCCACACTGGCGAGTACACCCGGCTATAATGTAAGAACATGTCTGAGACCCCAGCGTGGTGTCACGTGGCTGTTTTGAAGAATTTTACGAGATCCGTTGGGTACTCACGGCAGTCAACGTGTTAAAAAACTCAATGTAAATTATTCCGTGTCGGGAATAAATAGTAAATTAATGTCAATCAAATATAAAACGCAAGTAAACATATTTTTTCGGGTAAATGCATACACTACATTGTTGCCATGTTTGATAATTGAGACGATAACAGGTGAAACTCCGAGAAGTCCTGTTGATAAAACGCAATTAAAAATTCCAGGTAATATTACATTTGCAGACCCAGATTTTAATGTTCCCAACGGTGTTGACTTGCTGATTGGGGCAAACATATTGGCTAGCTGTAGGCCAATTAAAGCTACCAATACTTTTAGATTGCAAAAAACGCTACTAGGTTGGGTTATCTCTGGCAGTGCCATTAAATAATAACACTCATTGTAACCTGTCACAAAACGAGTCAAATATTGCTTAATATTCAAGAACAACGTACATTACTTGACGGACTAAACAAAATTAATGACACATGAGACCACTGACACCTTAAATTCGGATTTTTGGGAAAGAAACTTTGTAGATACAACACAGAAAGACAAAAAAAATAATTTTGTTGTCACCCTACCAATAAAGCCCAACGGGAAACCAGGGATGTAAGTAATTTTATTTCTATTGCTCTATTAGAATATTTCAAAAATATTTTTATATACAGTGGTGGTAATGTACGCGTATTCCCCTTTGTAGACAAAGACGCTAACAATAGAGATGCCATATAAGACGTGTAAAGTGTGGAGTGCCCCACCACTCCAGGAGTGGTGGGGCACTCTGCCTTGGGCAGACAACTTCTAGCGGCGTCAGACCAAAGTCAAAAATGTATGGATTTCAGCATCTTAGGGCCAATAATCTTGATGAATTAAGAGCAATGATTATTGATACATTAAGAAATATTAACCCTAATATGCTGTCAAATGTCCGTCAAAATTTTTACAACAGGTTGACGTATTGTTCGGCAGCTTTTGGGCAGCTATTTGAACATTTGCTTTAAATTATTTTTTCTTTACGTTTTTTAGAATACTTTTTTATTTGAGAATATTTGTTTTTTTATTACAAGAATATTATTGTTTATTTTCCACATTTACAATTGAGATTTTACTATGTCTATCGGAAATTGAACGCAACAAAAAAGGTCTCTTAGTATTTATCGATTACTCTAACCAATCAAAAGATATTCGCATTGGAATATCAGTGCCAAGACTTTGGGCACGGCCAATCAACATTCCACAAAAAGGCCAAATGCGTTAAATGGGTAGGAGAACCCGCCACAAAAGATTGCACCGTAACAAAAACGGAAAGCTACAAAGCCCAATGCACCAATTGCAAATTTGACCATCCGGCCAACTACTCAAAATGCCCAACACTGATTGAATACCTCAAACAAAAAGAAACCACGGGACTAAAGAAAAAACCAATAAAAGAAATAAACATAAATAAATACAACTTCCCAACACTAAAAAACATGGAATCTCCCAGAGTAACAAATAACAGTACAGGATACAGCGAAGCAATTAAAAAAGGCACTAGTACCGATGCAGGCAATCAATATCTGGAGTTCAAAGAAGAACTTAAAACTTTAAAATCCCTAATTGACCTAGGGAAAATACTGTCTGAAATAAAAGAACTTAACAGACAACTACAAAATGCCCGACCCGAAGACAGGAAAATAATAATAAATAATAATAATAATAATAATAATAATATTTATTGCATTATAAAATAATTTACAAGTAACTTTACATTTCACAAGTTTGCAACAAATATGCTAATCTGCACTATAAATGTAAGAAACATTTGTGCGTGCAGGTACAATAAATAAACAATAAAAAATGTATAATAAATCATAAAACGAGTACAATGTATAATAAACAACAGTATCGCTTTAAAACCTTAACAATACAGTAAGATTATACTAAAACACAAATAAATAATTTATAGCTATAGACAATATATAATTATTCGTAGACTAATTCCAGACTAAAACTTAAACTATAAGTAATCTAAAAATAAAGATAAAAGGAGGCCTATAGTACTTAAAATAGAAATATGAAAACTAATTAAAAATTAAAAATTTATTAAAAATATTGAAGATTTAAAAACGACAATTTATAAACACTATACACATAATGAGCAGTTTTTTAAGTCAATTTCGTTAGACACAAACCGTCTGGGTTTTTGTAGTACATAACTTTTGCTTATTTTTTTAAATGAATTTGGAATAAGTATGTTTTTTATATTTTCTGGGAGGGTATTATATAATTTCGGACCAAGGTAGGTTAAACACCTTTGGCCAATGGTTTTGCGCATCTTTGGAACAAGTAAATGATCTTTTTGTCTCGTAAATCTACTGTTTACTAATGGAAGTGACTTTTTTTGAGCATGGGTGTATATTAAAAGATTAAGATAATAAAGTTGTCTACAATCCATCTTACCAGAGATGAGAAATAATTCGTCCGTTGGGTAAGTAATTTTAACACCATGCATTATTTTTAAAATTCTTTTTTGTAGCAACTCCACATCCTGCAAGTGATTACTGTATAAACCACCCCACCCAAGGATACCATATCTAAGATGCGACTCCACAAGTGCGTCGTATACAATGTTAAATTGGGTTATATTTAATATAGGATAAAGTAATTTAAAATAATGTAATAGGCATCTAAGTTTTTTGTTTATTTCCCGCACTTGTAGATCCCATCTCAGATGTGGATCCAATGTCAATCCAAGAAATCTGACCGAATTGGAGGATTCAATACTAAAACTTTCCCTGCACGTGGTAAAGGTAAGAATATTTAATTGTGGTAAACTATTTGAATATAAACCAAAACACATAAAATTTGTTTTCTCCACATTAAGCGAAAGTAAATTATAGTCAAACCATTTTTTAATATTGATAAAGTCTTTCTGTATTATATCTTTTAAGGATTCCCAGTTATGACTTTTATATAATATTGTTGTGTCATCTGCAAAACTCGTGATAGTACCCTTGATTTCTACTCTAAAGAGGTTGTTTATATATAGTATGAAAAGAAGCGGTCCCAAAATAGTACCTTGTGGGACTCCATACTTTGGTATCATCATCTCACTTAAATTTTCATTTATCCTTACCATTTGTTTACGGTTTTTCAGATATCCAGTAAGAAGTCTCAAAAGAGCGCCTCTAACCCCTATGCTATCTAGAACATTGATAAGTTTGTCATGACTTACGGTGTCAAACGCTTTGGCAAGGTCCAGAAAAATGCCAATTGCAGGAGTACCTTTATCCATTGCCTCATATATTTGACTAGTTAGTGATATTATAGCACCTTGAGTAGATTTGCCCTTCTGAAATCCGAACTGTCTATCTGATATTATTTTATATTTTTTTATATAATCTTCTAAACGATCTTTTAACAGCATTTCAAAAATTTTTGTTATGTTTGTTATTAAGCTGATAGGTCTATAGTTTATTGGCTTCAGTTTATCACCTTTCTTGTAAATAGGTATCACTATGGAGGTT